ATTCTGAAATTGTAATTAAGTCCCTCGTAAATATCGAATTCTCAAACAAAAGGTATGTAACGCCCCGAATCAGCAATAATATTAAGAACGGTTTCATTGCTCGACTATAAGTGAGATCCGTAATTTTCAGAATTTTTCGAGTTATATTTTATATGCTAAATGCTCAATTATTTTCCTAAGTTTGGTAGATCATTCTTTGGAAATTTTTCTATGTCAAGTTAAGATCAAGACCAATACCTTAATTTGGATTGACAATTGATATCTAATCAACTCGATAAATTGTTGGTTTTGAACCCTAGTTTCATTCCGGTTTATTTCCAAGTCATTTCCCGAGCATAGCCGAGCCTTGGTATCTTGATACTTAGAATATTTTCTAAGTGTATTGAGATATCAAAGTTCAAGTGTTAAAGCATTCAAGCCCTAGACATTTATTCTCGAGCCTTAGTCACCCGAGCCACGAGCATGAGCCCTATGGGGCATGAACCGAGACTTTAGCCAACTCTTCTTTCATGTCTTGATCCATGCGTGTACTTAAGAGATTTTCAGCCATATTTTGAGTCCTTATCAAGCCTTATGATCATTAGCAAGACTCAAGCCTTATTAGCATTATTTAATGCCTTAATCATGCATGGGTGGGTTGTTTTTTTTAATCAAGTTGTAAGACCATGTTTCCCACTCACATGCTAGTCTGACCAGAGTTCTCAGCCCCTTTTGCAGTCCAAAAAACCAAGCATGGCAGCCTGGTGCCTTAGGAGATTCTTCCACTTCATGCATTGGAAATGAGTTCAACTCATTTCGGTCTTCCACTCCCTAGCCTAGTTTCATCCGCCCAAAGACCCTTTATAAAACTCTAATTCAGCTCTTTGTATCCTCATTTGAACCTCTGGAAATCCTTAGCATATTGGAGAGAAAAATTTGAGCTCAAGTTTTCCTATACCCCTCAAAACCGAGAGCAAATGTTAAGTGCCGAGAAGAAAAACAGCTCAACCGAGTGCATTGTTTGAGCTTGTACTTGATTTATAAACATCAAACCTTCTTTCCCACAGCATTATACCACTCTTAGCTTGTGTTTTGAAGCGTTAAGTCCAAAGAAAATTCGAGAAGAACCAGCAGTAAGCCGGGAGCAAGAAGAGGAAGGTCGTGAGCATCCTATCCACCTTTTCTTGCATTTTCCTTCAAACTCTTGAGGTTGGTTTGCTATTTTCCTTTTTAGGACTTGTTAATTATGGTATGAGGATGAGAATGATATATAATTGAGCCATATATGTTCATTGTTGAAGTGTTTATAAGCATGCTAAATGTTAAAGTCGTCCCAGCTCGCATGCATGTTGTTTAAGTGATGTTTGCATGCGTTTTTGCCTATGCTCTAAAAAATCTGGGAATGTTTGAATTTTATAGCTATTTCTTGTGGAAGAGCAGAGTTCATAGGATCAACAATGAACTCAATTGGCCTAGTATAGCTCGAGTTATTGATTTTTAAAGTTAGACATGCAAATTGAACTTTATATGCGCGAATTCTGCTTCGACTTCAAACACGAATAGCTCGAGTTCTACTCAGGATAAAATTATGAAATCTTATGGACATTTTTATATATGCGTTAAGAGCCTGCATATAAAATTTCATGATTTTATCATAAGAGATTAGTGAGTTATAAGTATTAGACCCAATGCATGTCAAGTTGAACTTTGATGCTTTAGAACTCCCCCAATACTTGCGGGATTAATGTGAAATTTAAGGGGAATTTCTTATATGAGCTTTGAGTAATTCCACCAAATTTGAGGTTCAGAAGACAAGATTCCAATTTATAAAATTATTTGAATACATGAGTGTAAAGTGCATTTCATATGTTAAGTTTGAGATGCTAAATTGGATAAGCTATTAATGTTTAAATGATTTGAAATTTTGACAGCATGTACATGGTTAAGTAAACTATTTTACTGTGAAGTTTGAGAATTTTTAGAATTATATTCGATTTTATAAAAATCAAGAGGGTTTAGTCAATCATTTTATTCTAGTAAATGATTTAAATGAACATGCATGGACTTAAGTGATCATTCATTCATAAATATTCATTTAGCATGTGAGTTGGTCGGAAATAGTCGCTGGAGTCCGGCGAGAATGGCTGGTTCGAGACACTACAGAAAATACAGAAAAGTGGGTTTTCGAGCCTAAGTGAGAATTTTTTCGAGAACCCTATTATAGTCCAGTCGAGCCGAGAAAATCCATTCTACTTTTAAGTGTTCACATGCATCTATGTGATTTATATGCTTTTCATGCTATATCTGCTTCTCCTGCTTAACTGTCTAAGTTTTAGTATCAGTTTTTCTAAGTCGAGCAAATTTCTTAGATATATTTGCTTATATTTTGGTAGCTTAAGGAGAGTCTAGCCTCCGACAGCTACCCCAGTTTTCAGCACTTTCCAGATCATTTTAGTATACCAGGTGGGGGACCCGCACTGGGTATTACATTGCCTATAATCTTGTAACATTTATGAGGTATGTATACAGATAACTTTTACCCGAACGGTCCAGTTTATCTGTTCGTGGTCCAGCTTATGTTGACTCCCAGTAGAGTTACTCGCCTAGTACAGTTTGACTCCCAGTAGAGTCATCCTGGGTTTCTGGGGAGGCGACCCCCAGAACGTGATCACATGAGAACCGGCCAGTTATCGATAGCCTGCACCAGTACAGTACAATTTTATTTATGTATATGCTGAGTTTATGACATTCTATTATACGTGTTGTTTATTCAGTGTTGGTTCTTGCGGAGTACAGTGGATGAGTACTCACGGCCCCACTATTATCTTTTTAGGTGATGGAGTGCAGCCTGGAGCGTGAGCCGAGCTTGGTGGTGTGGTGGTGTCTGAGTCAGCTGGACATTTGTTTACGTTTATGTTATGTTGGCATGTATAAATAATTTCAGATTGTACCGTATTTTATTTCACGCTTCCGTACTGCCAACCCAAACTAGTATGTATGCACGTTTTGTTTTCCCCTTATCCGTATTTTCCCAGTCGGAACTTATATGTTGATTTGGGTATGTTCATAACTAACAGAAAGAGAAGTAAGTCAGTAAGTAAGTAGCATCCCGCAAGTTAATAAGTTTAAACGTTTTTCGAAAACAGTATAAGTATATTTCGAAAACAGTCGCGAAAATTTTACCCAGTTTTTCGTGAGTCAAAGTTACAGTAGGCGGAGTGTTACAGCTTGGTATCAGAGCGCAGTTAGCATTTCTGTAGACCAAAAGTCAGCCAAGTTACCACACCATGCTCACGCTCGCGCTGCCTCCAAGTGCTTATTTCAGTTCAAGTATGGGGCCTAGATAACTATCCTCCTATAAGACAGATAACCCTAGACGAGAACTCTACAAAGAACTATGTTTCAGAACTCTAGTCTAAGTCAGAACTCCTATTAGAAGTCAGAACTCTAGTCAGAACTCTAGTTCAAACTCTAGTCGAACACTAGCATTACGAGTTAGCGACTCGTCAAGAAATTTGTGCCTTATCTAGAATTCAGCGTTTCTCCTAGATATGCTAAATGTCAACTCCTGTTCTGATCAAGTATACGGTTAATTATCTAGATAGCACGCCAAAGAGAGCACGCTCAGCAGGAGATGACCCAGTCAGTTGTAGTCGCCCAGTTTCGCGACTATAATCCCGAGATCCTCGCCTAGTAGACGAGTGGATCCAGGGTCTCGAGCAGATTTTTGGGATCACTAAGTGTTCAGGTAGGCACCATATTCTATGTGCCCAGCTTCAGATGACGGGAGATGCCCATCTATGATAGACAACCAGTATCATGTCGCTAGTTATCTAGACAAATGATCTCTACGAGTTGTTGTGATCGTTAATCCAAACCCATCCCAGAAATCAGCCGCCTAGTCAGCGGCATAGCCAAAGAAGGCAAATGGGTTTATCCCCAGATTCCTAAGGGGCAAGTGAGGAAGAGTTGGATATCAAGATATTCAACTTCAAAAATATCGATTAAGTCTATCACTAAGTACTAGTTGATCCTCTAGAGGTGAGAAGTACTTATTTGCGACCGGAAGCGCAAGACAGCAAGTACAACCGGAACTCTAGCCAAGCTAGGTGTTTTCGGCAAATCATATCATATTCCTTAACTCTGGTATGGCTATTTCTTAATGGTCATACGGTTCTAGTCAATGGTTAGTGGCTATCTAGAATGTTGTCCCTTATAGCTCCAACACCACCCGTAGTCGTGAACCAATTCCAGTGATTGGTGGAACGACGATGGGCATTTGAGTAAGAAGGATGAGTAAGATGAGCGGACATGGGATCATCCCAGAGAAGTTCTGGAAGTCAAGTTCTATCCGCGCCCTATTCGCGATGGGATGGAGCAAAAATTCTATACCCTTAACCAGGCAAGGGAAACAGAGCAGCCAGTTGCTATGTCTGGCATGTTTTCTTTGGGCAACGTTCTAGTTTGCCTTTTTGACACTGGGACGACCCATTCGTTCGTGTCCACAAAATGTGTCTCGACGCTATAAATATCCAGAGAGTGAGTACTGTCGACCCCCTTGAGATCAGCCTAGCCTCAGGGAGGAAGATAGTGACGCACTCTTTGGCCAAGGACCTTAGTCTTGATATTGGCGGAAAAACTCTAGAGGTCGATGCATTTGTGATTGAGATGAGGGACTTTGACCTTATACTCGGAATGGATTGGTTGGCGAAGTACTGCCAACCTAGACTAGTATGTATGCACACTTTATTTTCCCCTTATCCGTATTTTCCCCAGTCGGAACTTATATGTTGATTTGGGTATGTGCATAACTAACAGAAAGAGAAGTAAGTCAGTAAGTAAGTAGCATCCCGCAAGTTAGTAAGTTTAAACGTTTTTCAAAAACAGTATAAGTATATTTCGAAAATAGTCGCGAAAATTTTACCCAATTTTTCGTGAGTCAAAGTTACAGTAGGCGGGGTGTTACAAGGTACACTTCATACAGCCCTTCTCGTCAATTTCTCTGGCCGATTTTTCAACGTCTAGTCGTCCGGTTCCTTCGGAGATGAAGTCCCTCCGCTCTCCCACGCCGCATCCAAGTCTATTATTCCGCCAGATTGCCATGTCTTGGTGTCGGGATTTTGACTCCGGCAGATTCCCGAGGAAGGCGCCAACAGATTCCTGATGAAAAATCCGTCGATCGAGCAGATGGTGGGTGACCAGCAGGAGCAGACAAACTGTCGATCAAAGGTGGAGGAAGGCGCCGACGGCGGCGAGAGGCAGGGACTGTATGTGTTTGTGCCGGGTGCGTGAGGCTAGTGTGTGAGAGAGAGTGAGATAGAGAGAGATGAGTGAGTTATGGTGACAGATGGGGTGGGATGATTTAATTGGGGTGGGGTCCATGGTGGGTAGTTGGTATGTGATTAAATGTCCATATTACCCTTAATGAAGGTATATTTATTGATTTTTTTAGTCATTAGATCATCCGATCTAATGGCTACAATTTATTCTCATTTCTTTCATTGAGAACCACTGATGGCTATATATATATACATACATATATATATATGTATATATATATATAGGGTCTTACTCCAGTGAGGATGGTGCTCAGTGAAAGAAATAAGAATACATCATGACTATTAGATATGATCATCTAACGCTAAACAAAAATATTGTATTTCTACATTGATTAAGGGTATTATAGACATTTATTCACCCACCAATTACCTGCCAGTGGGCCCCACTCCCCAATTAATTCCTTCAATCACGTAGCTGTCGCTCTTTCTCCCCAATTAATTCGTCCAATTTATCTCTCTCTCTCTCTCTCTCTTTGATTCTCTCTACAGCTTTCTCTCTCTAACCAATTAATTCGTCCAATTTATCTCTGTCCCTCTCTCTAATTCTCTCTCTCACAGACGCACACACAGACCCACGCAAATACACACACATAGAAATTGCTCGATAGCCACTGCCCACTCCACAGAACGCCGCCGCAGCCACCGTGTCATTCGCCACTCGCAGCCGGCCGATGCCCGATAATGCCAATGGCCGCCACTGCCCCGTCTCTCAAATCCAACGACGAGAAGGTCGTCACCTCTGATGACGCCAACCAGAAAAACTTCCATACACACGCCCTCTCCGCCTCCATGTTCCAGACAATGGCCTCCGACCTGGACGTCCAAAGCTACATTCGCCCGAAACCTGCACGTCATGCCGCCGTCCGACCTAGAAAGGGAAGGCGGCGCCAGGGACAACTGACGGCGACCGTCGAGGACACTGGAGGTTGCTGAGGTTGTCGTGAGAGTAGGCGGCGAGTGGGCTTACGGGAAGGGTTTGCGGTTATGATATTGGGGTTTTTCTTGGGAATTTGATATTTTGTAGGGGTTTAATTGCAATTTTTATAATTAGGTTGTGTTACAATTGAGTACATGGGCAAAATGATTAATTAATCTAAAATTTATAAAAATAGTATTATTTATATATTCTTTTATTTTACACACATATATTAAAATAACAAATAAATATATTAAGCAACAATATTATAAAACACAAAAATAATATAAGAAATAATAAATAAAAATATATAGATAAAATATTAAAATAGTATTAAAACAATATATAAAAGTTTATAATATAAATATTAAAATATTTAGGTAAATTCGGTTAAATTAGGTTGGAATTGCACGTGAAAAAAAACACACACACAGGATGCACGATAATGTTATACGAGATACACATTAGTGACTATTGAAATGCACAACATTGTATATAAAAAAAAATATGAAATAATATAACAATAATAAACAAAATATTGAAATAATAAAAAAATTTATAACATAAATAATAAATAATTATTTAGGTTAATTCGATAAATGAACCAACTGAATTAATTGTTCTTTTCTCGTTCGTTTTAAATTGCATTTGTATGTACAAAATTCCACACTACATAATGCACATTATTTTTATATGAAGTGCACATTAAGTCCCGCAAGAATGCACAATAGCGTATATTCCGCACACGGACCAGGTGAAAAATACAAATTTTTTTAAAAAAAACAATGTTACGCTATTGTGCATTTTTACCGATATTATATGCATTTTAATTTGTCACCAATGTGCATTATGTGTAACTTATAGGAGTGTACAAATGCTGACCGAAACCTAAAAAATCGGCTAAAACCAATCGCAAAAAAGAAAAATATAATTATATATATTATTTATTTAAAAAAAAAAAAACACAATATAAAACATCATATACAAATTATAAATACTAATATAAATTATTATATACATAACTTGATAAGTGCATCATTATGTTGATTGAAATAAACATTATTAAAGTTTCTAAAATTGGAACACACATAAAAAATATTCACTCAATAGTCTGCACAATAATGTTAGACGAACTGCACGTTAATGTCTATCGAAATGCACATTAATGATTTCTGCATTTTATGTATTATCTTTTTTCAACAAAGGGTAATATAAAATATTAAATGAAATATTAAAATACTAAATATATTTTTATAATATGAATAATAAATTATTTCTATAATTTGGGTTAGTTCAATTGGCCAATCGAATATATCGATTTTTTCGTTTCGTTTTTAGTATGATTTGAGCAAATCATTAAAAAATATTTGCGATGCAATTGCACGATAGTATTAGACGAATTACATATTAATAACTATCAAATTGTATAATAACCAAAATAGATCGAACTGTTTTTCTTAACGAGCATGACTTCCCGCCATATTGTGCATTTTACGTGGTATTGTTGTGCATCAATTAATTATTAAAAAAATTACAATTTTATCCTAGGACCTAAAGTGCAATATATTAAAATCTCAAAGAATTACAAATCAATCCCTCATTCTTATCTAATTTTCAAAAGAAGAGCCCCACAATTACTCCCTCTCAGTCGGGCAGTCACCAACACAAACAGTGCCTCTTCTCCTCTGACATCACGGTCGCCGCCGCAATTGGAGCGATGAAGTCGGTGTCGCCGGGCTTGGAGGAAGGCATATTCAAGAGCAATTTTGCCGCCAACATTGAGGTTATTAATTTCTTGTCGGTCCTGCCGCTCGCCGTCCTTGCCGGAGTCGGTTTGTTAGCAGTGAAGGTCATTGGATGTCCTACGGCGGATTGGAGGTCGATTTCATCTCAACGTCATACAGCAGAGGGGAGTCCGATTGCATCTCAACGTCGTACGGCGTAGTGGATGCCGATTTCCCAGCCTCGAGCGGCAGTGCGGGAGGCGGTTTTCCGTCGGAAACACGTGGTTGCAGACGTCTCTGGTGCGCGGATGGCGGAGGCGCAGCGGATGGGGTCTGCACTCGTCCGCGGCGGGGCTGTTGGGTGAGAGATAATTAATTTAATGTATTGTGGTGGGCCCCACTTATTAGGTTGGTAGAAATTACACAACTGCCCTTAAATATTGAATTTTTGACCAATAAATATCAATTATTTACCATATTGCCATTAATGTTGACCATTGTGTATTAAAGTTTGACTTGATTATGACCATTGATGTGGTGGATATAATGGTTTAAATTTATTCTTATTTATTTCATTGTGATTCATTCTTATTTGAACGCACTTCTATATATATATATATAGGATGTGGTTCAATAGAGACCAAAGTCCTAACGTGAGAATCATGAGAACCGCTATTTATAGTTGTACGTAGTGCTATGATTGATTGTGTTTTAGTGTTATTTTTAACATGGATTTATTTTTTTAAAAATAGCAACGCAGTTTATATTAGCATTTGTGAAAATGATAGCACCATGTGATATTAAAAATAGCATCATGCACAATAAAAGATAGCATGAAATACGGTTCTCACACCAGAACTAGTTTTTATTTGAACCACTCCCTATATATATATATATAATTGTTGACAAGCTTCAATAAACTTTATTTAGCCAACAATTAATTTAAATGGGACTTAATTTAATAAAAACTATTATGACCAGCATTCAAATGACAGTTACACGAGTAAAACCTTATTATTATTAATTTTTTATTCTGTAACATCTTTACGAGATTTTAAATTTTCTGAATATACAATATTAAATTGTTTTACAACTAATATTTCTATTTTGTATTATAATTATACAACTAAAAGAAAAAAGAAAAAAAAAAGAAAACCGATTTATATGGAAGTTAAATAATTTATATTTATATTATACATTTCCATATAGTGAAAATTTAGAAATGTAATATACACTTTGTTTAATTTAAATTTTTAAATATCTTATACGTACATATAATATATAATTTTTTGTTTTCCTTTGTGCATGTGCGCATGATTAAATACTAGTTATAATGTGTACAAATTAATATTCTTAGAGAAAATAAATTAAAAATAAGTAAAAATAATCAATCATACTTTGAGAATATTTATATGTATATAATTTGAAAATAGTATAAAATTAAAAGTAATTAAAAAATAAAAATCTATCATAAAACGACATTGTTTTATGAATGGAGACTATAACAACCATTTTAGATTTTAGTCAAGTATTTTGAACGATGGTCTTGGTTTTTTTTCCCCAAAACGATAGAGATATTATATAAATAAAAACCGCACAAAGTGCGAAGAGAAGCAGCCAAAAGCTGAAAAGTACAATCAAATGCTGAAAAGACTTGAAGGCAGATCCAAAGTTCGCCTTGACCTAGCAACGCTAGAATAACAAACTCGCAACTATACAAAATCAACTACATAAACAAAAAACGAAAACTACTAAAAAAGATCCCAACAGGATAATACCTGAGTGTCTAATCCTAACTGGATAATAAGTTGACACCCGAGCGCACAGAGGTCAAAGGACGACCCAAACCAAAAACACAGACCTAAACAACACAAACACGAATAATAAACAATAGAAACAAAATAACAAAAGAAACCACTTTCAAGCCCTTCCCCAGCAAACAAATAGGCCCAAACCAGTAGAGAAGCAATCGTCCAAGGAAAATCCCTAGGCCCAGGCACAACTATCGAAACTTCGAAACCGCCTACACAGAAGCCGAACCCGAGCCCGAGCCCTAAACCAAACCCTAAAACGACCCACCTCCAACCAAGAGAACGACGACACCAGCTCCCCAAGTCATCGCAGCCCGAACTCATCTAACACCACTAGTCAACACCACCAGAGAACTGAGGATGAGAGCGGCTCGGTTCTCAACTCCGAGTTCCCTGATGCAAAACGTCGCAGCTGTCGGAGCCCCGCTCCACCCGCTGCAACCGCACTTCACCTATCAACACCAGTGACCGTCGACGACCAAAGACTGGCAGTCCCCACGGAAAAGGCAAAGCCGACCGGAATGCCCCAATCGCAGACAAGCTGCAGATCAAGACCAAACCACCAACAAAGGAAGGCACGCCGACGACTGAGGGTAGACCGCCCATCATAGACCGGTCGGAGACTCACCGCGACCGACAAGCACCCGATCACCAATCGCAGGCCTGTCGGCGATCGAAGGCAGAACTCTAGGCTTAGACAATACAGCAGCATCAGAGGCTCACGATTTCAGGGATGGGCCGAGCGGTTAGAGGCGACCGCTGGCCAGAGTCACGCCGCCACCGAGGAAGGCACAAGCACGCTGGATTGAAGAGGCAAGTAGGAGCAGATGTTGGGGCTAGCGTTACCGTGAAGGAGGAGAGTTTATGGATTTAACTCTTACTTTGTGGATTTAATTATTTATATTCCCATGTCTTGGTTGACTATTGCCATCCCATGTCTTGGTTGACTATTGCCATTTTTTTTTACAAGATTGATGAAATCAATAGAAATAACATTATATCATAGTTATTGCATAGTTAAATTTTTTTTTTCATTTGTTGTTTTTGAAAAAGAGTATTATCATTTCAGTTTAAATCTATGTTTCGAAAGATCTTTTTGTGTTTGACAAATATTTTTATTCTTCACAAGTAATTATTTTTGTTCTTTTTTTTTAGTAGTTGTCGGTGTAAAAAATAAATTCCATTTTGACTGAGATATATGTTTTAAAATTTTTATTATTGAAAAGAATAAATATATAATTTCTAAAATTTCAGAAATTTGGTAAAAAAATTATTAATAATTTAAAATTTATTCTTATTTTTTAATTAAAAATGATTAATAAAATAGTTATGATGTTATTTTATAATTAAAGTAATTATAAGAAAGTATTATCAAATAATATACCAATTACATACCATACAAAA